CATGATCAGAAAACACGATTATAGAGACAAATGACACACAAAGGGAAGGACACGAAACACTACAAAAAAAGCACGAAAATAATAATAATAATAATAATAATAATAATAATAATAATAATAAATTCAGATTTAGATTTAGTAGAATAATTATGATAAAGTAAAATAGACAATACAATAAAACAATAGAGAAACACAAACACAACACGATTTGCCCGCTCTAAGTGCCCCAGTTAGACCTAATGGCCCGACCTCAAAACGAAGTAAACAATTATACGTAGCTTGACTTTGGCATTCAACATGACAGCCGGTCCAAAGGAATTTCGACGACATCTTGATTATTTTATGACTAATTGCAGAAAACTGCCCTTAAAACTTGCTCTAATCACAAGAGAGCATCTATAAGTATCATCTGATCACCTCAAAACACCACCAGTCCATGTGTAGTTGTATTTCTTTTTATTAAAAAAAAAAACAATTAGTTTCTCTAGCTCTATCTATGTGAAAATTTGATTGTTGATCCACCAAACATTTCTCAAACCATTAAAAACATGAATATCGTATACCGCATCACATACCAAAAAATAAAAAATAAAAAATCCAGCATTGTTATCTTTGATCCTTTCTCTCTTTCTGTTTATCATATTTCAATTTCCTTCTTCATTTTCCCGGTGTTTCCCACATTAAACTTTTTGGTCCCATCATTTGAGGCTTGCTAGTATTGGTAAAACAACAATAAGCTATGTAATTCAAAAATACAAGAAGTTGGCTATATTTTGGACCATTTCCAAAGATAACATAAAGCAGTTCTCTCAACACACAGAAAGAACCTAAAAGTAACTCAAGACGCAAACTACTTAGACGAATCCATGCTTACTCCAGTTTCAATAAGCTTGCGGGTTTAAGGCAAGAGAAAGCATTTGCATATTTATTAAGTAGAAGCCACCTTAGGTTCTTCCAGTTATTATACTAATCCTTAGACCATGATATACCTCTTAGATCATGATTTTCGGAGTTGGCGCTTTTCCTTCTTGCTTCTCATCTCCATCTGCCAAAAGAAAATAGGAAAACAAAGCAGCTAGCTTAAGCAGCTAATGAGAAAATCGCAGATTAAAATATACTTGAGTTAGTAGGGGGGAGAGGGAGAGGGAGCATAACCTATCTGCACCACTAAGGTGATTAATCAGACATGCACATAAGGATGTTTTTCCCCGAGTTATTTAGGGTGTGATTGGTTATACACTTAACCAAAAAAACAATCAAAACTCAAATTTAACTCAACCCCACTATCCTCAACATTATCAATATAATTAACTAATATCAACCTATCATTGTTACACGTCACATCAACTTCAAGTCACTATTCATCCACTCGCATAATTTTAACTTCCAATCATTTTTCTCTTACTTTACATCAAATCAACTTTAATTTTTTATTTAAATGTTATTTTAATTTAAACTTAAATTCTCACTAACAACTAAATTAACTATGGTAAAAAAAAAAAAAGACAATCAAAAACCAATCAAATCCATATCCTATCACACCCTTAGACATTCATATAGGCTTTATTCCTTTAATTTCTTGAATCAAATGAAAAGTTGGGCACATGAATCAAGCAATACAGACAGTATTAACAATGAAGATAGTAACCAAAACAGATTCACCATGTTTGTGGTGTGTATAACAGAGAAAAATCAAAATTCAGTTTCCAGCGAGTACACACGACCATAATTCAGCTACCAGCATGGAGAAATCAGCATACTAACAGCGTAAAGATGTATTAACTGTAAGATAATGTGATCAGGTGTACAGACTATAATCTTTCATCATAAACACAAGCAAAGAACATGAGTACATATATCAACCTCACAGACTAAAAATGGAAGGAAATGCATTCATAATGTGGTCAAGTGTACAGACCAAAATCTCCCATCATAAATGCAGGCAAAGAACAAGAGTACATATATCAACCTGAAAAAACTTGAAAATGCAAGGAAAAGCATTCATAACTATGGTTCATCACATCTTATTTCGTATAAAACTTGAACAGTTGCTGAAAAAACCCAGTGACTAATAAGCAGAAAGCGAAGCTCCCAATTAGAAACGAGCAATCAATCGAACCATAAAATAGACACGAATAAAGCCCCTCTTGCTCGAGCTAGCACATGGTACAACTCTTACTGCACAACTCACAACAAGTCAAAGCAGAACCGGAAACAGAACAAGTTCAGGGGGGACAGCGAATTTACCGGCGGCGGCTTCTCCGTAGATGGACTTGAGGGTGAGGAGGGGCACGAGGGCATTCTGGGGATTAGCCTCTGCCTCCGCGTAGAGCTTCTGCTTCCAATCCCAGATCGTGCTTTTGATGGCCTTGTTCGCCTTGACCAGGTCGTCCTTCTCCGCCTCCAGCGCCTTGATCTCTCGCTCCTGAGCCACCGACCTCGCCGCGAGGACGCCGAATACGGCGGCTAACGCGGTGTTGACGACGGCGTTGCTGTTCGCAGCTCGGTTCAGTGCACTGATTGCTTGCTCCATTTTGGCGACTAATGGAGTCGGTGCGGGTTTTTGTACCTTTGGAATCCTTATTACACTATCTTTATCCCCAACCCAACCCAACTCAACTTAACAATTAAAAATTATTTCTCTCTCCTCTACCTACACAACTCAATCTTCCAACCCATTTTATCTTTATTCATAACCTAACTCAACTTAAATATTTATTTTATTTTAATTTATTTAAAAATTACAATTGTGTTCTAAAATATATCAAGTGTGGTCTCTATTTGTAGAGAATGAAAAAATACGAATTTTAATATTTTTTTTATTTTTTTTAAATACAAAAAAATACACTTGTGCAATAAAAATGGAACAAGTGTCCCATTTCAGTACAAAAACCGGTTGCGACCCGAGGTCACAATGTGACCTGGGTCGCGCGCATCAGTGCCCTTTTCCTTTTTTTTTTTTAATTTTTTAATTCCGTGACCCCTCCCATTGGGTCACGGATAAAGGTGGCCTTAGGAGTTGTTTGATAAAGATAGCTTTTATAATCTTGACTATGTTTGGTAAAACTAGTTGATAGCTAGTTTATAGCTTATCAGTAATTTTTTAGTTTATAGCTTAAAGCTCATGATTTATAGCTGATAAGCTAGCTTATATGATAAAAGTGTTTGGAAAATTAGCTGATAATCTAGCTGGAATAAAAATTTCAACTAGCTTATTTGAAAAGCTACATAAAGAAGCTTATCAAATAAGTTTGAGTTTTTTTTTTTAAAATCTCGTCCTACCAAACGAGATTTATTTGAATACATGAAACTTATAAGCTAACTAAATAAACTATAAGCTAGTTTATTTGTCTACCAAACATAACCTTCATTTATTCACATAAACTAGTACATTAAATGAGTTGTTTTCACATGCTGTGTCTCTTTAAGTCTAACAATAATAGCATTATCATCTATTTTTTACCTCTTTTAACCAGCGTTAAGTTCCACCTATTTGTTCATCGTATAATCTACATCTTTGTTCACCATATAATACTTAATTATTATTTTATTACATATTTTGTTGTCGTATAATGTCATTATATTATAAGAGAAATGCTCCCCTACTCATGGTGGACACATGTTAATATGCCAACCGCGTAGGTGGCATGCACTCATTGGTGATGTTAATATGTTTTAAAAAAATACATCACCAATGAGTGCATGTCACCTACGCGGTGGGCATATTGACATGTGTCCACCATGGGTAGGGGAACATTTCTATATATTATAAAGGTTATAGAAGTGGTATGTCTTCTTTTTATTTTATTTTACATAATGAAAATTATTAATGCACGTTAGTATTATTTATTTATGTAATAAATATCAAATATGTAATAAATTTAATAGTGTATAAATATTTTACAAAATGTACATACATGTTTTTTTAGAATTTAATTCTGTATACTAATTAAGCAACTCTGATTTAGCAAATGCCAAAAACTCAATTCTTTTTTAATCAAGATTTTTGTAATTTGCATTATAAAGATTTATAATTTATTTAGCATGCTCTGCAATAACAATATGTTTTACAAGAAATTCATTATTAAAAAAAATCAAAATAAAAAAATGATAAAAAAAATCATGATTGTCAATAACATACAAATTAATTATAGAACAATTAATATATTTTAATTTTAATTTTTGACAATTAGTACAACTATTTAATGTATATGGTCATTATTCTTTATATGGTAAATTATATTAATTTGAAGAATAACTTATTTTTTTATATATAACCAAATAAAGCTTAAGAAAAAAAGTATATTGGCAAAGATTAATTCACCAATTTTTATTGCCTGATTAATTGGAAGAAAAAATTCTACCTAGCCTGTTACGATCGTTTATAAATATTTTAAATAAAAAGTGAATACTTGTGGAAAAAAAATTTATGGTTAGAACTTAAAATATGTTGTAATATTTATCTTGATCAAAATATTATCAACATGAATCACGAAAAATCAATCTTGCAATTTATTATAATGGATATCAGTGAAATTATTGCAGATATTAATTTAATTTTAGAAAACAATATTTTTTATGACATCTGATTTGATCTTATTTGATAACACGTATACAAAAGCAATTAATGCATATATTAAAAAAAATAAAAAAGAAGGTATGCATTAAATGCTCTCAAATTTTTTTACTACTAGTTTTAGTCAATGGTTATTCTTATTGTATACTAGTACATAGCTCGCACGATGCACGGAACAGAAATATTAAATGAGTCAATTCAACAGAGCTTGTCCGTTAAGTAGCTCGTGCGATTCACGGGAGATATTAAATGAGTGGACCATAGGGCTTGTCCGTTCAAGCTTAAAATTGATAGAGTTTGATCATCTATATTTTTTACCTCTTTTCATCAACTTAATTTATTTTATTTTTTTTGTCGAGACATTAAACCTGAGCCTGGTAGCGCTAGCCCATAAATTAATTAATATATTATCTAGCTCACATGTATAATAATATACATTTGATTTCATTATATATATTTATTTCTTGATATAAGAAAAATAACAATTTTACGTAATCTTATTCCTTGTATAATACTCATATTATTTTATTATAAAATTTATTGTAGTATAATGTCATTATTAATATTTATACAGGTTGTAGATGTAGTCGTCTTCTTCTTTTTGTTTTATGTAATTAAAATATTTAATGTATGTTAATATTATTTATTAATGTAATTAATTTAAATTTATAGTAAATATTTTGTACAAACATTTTACAAAATATACACAAATATTTTTTTATAATATATTTTTTTATAATAAATAAACATATTAATTTTATGCATTTATTAAATATCATTGATATAAATTCGAAATCATACTTGAATTATATGCAATTATTAATGCCGTCCAATGTTATGGGAAGCAAATCATCCGGAAATGTAACAAACTGATAAGGAATTTTAAAATTTAAATTTTAAATGAGACATGTTTATACTTGAATTCTATGCAATTATTATTTTGTCTAATTTTATGGCAAACAATTAAGTCAGGATTTTAATGTAACAAAATGATAAAAAAAATTAATATTTAAATTTAAATTTGAAATGAGACATGTTTTTATTTGAAGTCTATATGTCCGATTTTGTTGCAAAACACATCAATTAAGGATGTAATTAATGCTTACCGTTTTTTTTGGTATAAAATAATAATACAATTAAAAAAATGATAAAAATAGAATGCATTAATTA